CGGGCCAAGCGGGGGTGAGCAGGAGCGGCCAGGCACTGAGAAAGGGCGATTTCAACACCGCAACTTTCCGCCTCGGCTTTTCTTTCCCCCTTCGCCTACCCTAAGTGGCTTAAGGTAGCGATGAGCCATTTCCAGGTTATGTTCTCGAGCGAGTGTTGGAGGTGGCGGGGCAATTGCAGCACGTAGCTGCAGTCAGGATCCTTGCGGTGGTATCTGGTGAAAGGCTTTGGCTGAAGGTGCTTGCATCTATGAACTGTAGTGCCCTTGGGTCTTCAAATGGGGCGTTTCAAGCTCAGCTTCTATGCTAGAGGTGAGAAAGGAAGGCTGGGCCAACTGACTGCAAGAACTGACCAAAATAATACTGGGTAGTTGGTTCCCCACTTCAGCATCTTATGTATTTTAGTAAACTTCTCTCAAACTTGTGAGTTCTGGTTTCAACATGAGCACTTATTTTTACTTTTTTTTTTTCCCTAAGGAGTGTCTCCCGTATAGTCAGTGAGTCTGAGGACAGCACTTTTGCATAGAAAATACAAGTGTTCCCTGATAAATGAATGAACACCACGCCACACTGACTTGCAGTCCAAGGTAAAAGCATTAGAGTGAAAAATGCTGTGGAGGTTGCTTGTTTCTTAGGGCACTGATAAGGGAACCAGAAATGAAAATGGAAAGCTGGTGCACACTGACTCAGTCTTAAAATGAAAAATCATTTCAACACTACTTCCAGAGCAGTCACTGTGGGTCAAAAAAGAAATTCAATTATAGGTTTTATTTCTGCCAAGTAGCATTGTTTTAAAAATATTCATGCTATACTGGCAGAAGTGATTTTATAAAATATTTCTATGTGTAGGAAAGACATACCCTCATGTAAAGCAAATCTGAGAAGTACATTGTTCACTTGCTGGGTTGCACTGCAACTCTGACAACAAAGACGTTTTCTGCTCTGTGTACTCTATATAATTGCTTGGGTGTAGGCTGCATTCAAGATAAAAAATGTTTGTTCTTCTCCCACCTCAGGAAATAAAAGCACCAAAAATACAACATAGATGAGAAGCACAAGATAGGAAATTTAAAACTAAGCTTAGACTTCTGCATCTGCTAAATTAAAATAATTTTAAAATAAATTAAAAATAATTTAAAATTTAAAAACTAATTTAAAAATAATTTATTAAACTGCTTCATGGATTTTAATAAAAATCAAATGTGGGACAGCATAAAGAAATTCAAATTACAGTATATTAGAAAATCAGGTTAAAAAAAACCATTGGAAGGGAACATCATTTCAGACCATACCTTTATATATAATGTTTTAATTACAAACTAATAATGTTTTTTCAAATTTTATTAATAAAAAATCTGATCCTTGAAATAAGATTATGTTTTGATATATTCAATCCAAGTGGAGTCATAAGAAAATTTTATCGATCTTATCAACCTCTTTTTCTTCTGTTTGGTAAGTGTCCAAAATGTAAAACTAACTGAAATATCTTTCCATGTGTTGAGATAACAGTGCATGTTAATACCACAAATCTATGTATGATTCATTCATCTTCATTTCACTTACTCCCTCTGCTGGGAATTAGCGTGAAAGTTCAGTGGATCAGAGGAAAGATCATTAAGAGTGCAACATACATTAAAAAGCCTCTTTTGCTTCTTTTAAAGATCACACTTCTTTACAGACTCTCCAGTGTGTACCAGTAAATCAATTTGCATTTCTTGTTGCAGGGCTATTCATTCCAAAATGATAAGGAAGGAGAAGCAAATTAACTACTTAAATATGGAATATATACTAAGTTTTTATGGGTTCTACTGTATCATTGTAACTGCCAGTATCAGAGATTAAATAAATATAGAAAAACAACTGAGTAACAGAACTGCTAAACCATACCTGATGCTGATGGCCATGTTGCTAATACCCCACTGCCTACACTGTCACCAACAGGATTAGTTGGTCTGAGAAGAAAGGGGGTAGAAGGGGATGGAACAAAAAATTCAGTTGTAGTACCAGCAAAGACTACCCCATACCATGAACATTTTTTCTGCTCAAAGTCTAAAACCACTTGCTTTAACACTGACAGCAGAATCTTAACTCCAATTACATGTTGCTAAAGTTCAAGCTTTATTAGTGACTTGAAAGAGGAAAAAGAAAAGATGGAATGATGGCAGTGGTCAACAAAGGGTGAACAACAGATGTCATATTGTAATGGAGATACCGCTTTGTGTCCATACATCCTGCTTCTTCTAAAATGTAGAAAAGATAATAAGGAGAATGACGCCAGACATACTGAATTCTTTCTTCTGCAAACCCTGTAAACCAGTTATGCTTGAGTGAAATACCTTCTAGTGAGAAGTGGGGACAGTTTCCACTGCCACAGGTAAGAAAACTTAGTGAGAAACAACTCTGTAACCAGTGGTTAAAAATTATCATGAATACTTTTACAAATACTATTGGTTTCTTTGTTATGCAAACCACATGATTTTAGGTCCTAACAGCATAGCTGAATTTAAAATACTCTTATTTTTTATAAAACCACAAATTGTATTTCCAGGTTTGCCTATGTAAAAATATTGTGGTAAGAGGCAATTTAAATATATGTATAAAAATCAAGTATAGCATTGTTCATAGTTGCAAATAAGTGCCACAAATGCAAACAAATGATACATAAATTTTTTTGGTGTGGGTCTGTTTCCAATCAAAATATTGCAACTAAGCAACAACAAGAAAATCACAAGTAACCCACATCATGAGGAAATAGATACTATCACAAAGTGAGTAACACACTTCAGGCTGGGCATATACAACTCCTGGGTATTGAAAAAATTAAGATGTATTACAGCTTAGAGCATTTACAACAAAAAGTAAAGAACTGTAAAAACTCTGAGCTTATTGGCCCTTAATATTCAGTCATGGTCTGAAGGTTTTTAGAATATACTATTGGGGCAGTGCATATAATTCCCAACCAACAAACACTCTTCCAGTCCTCTTGGGCTATTACTACAGACATTGCCAAAAAGAAAATTTATTGTCAAATAAAACATATTGTTTGCAAACTTCAGCAAATTCAGGGGTTTTTTTCAATTTTTTTCTTTCTTTCAGTTTCTGATTTAGATCAGACATAGGGGGATTGCCACTACAGTGATCCTGCTCTCTGAATATACTCACTTGAATGGGGTTTTTTCTTAATCATCAAAAATTATGCAGCAATTAATTGCTGTCAGAAGTCCCTGGAAGTCTGTATGTCATCACCATGGACAAAAGTTCCTTTGGCTCCAATCCATGATATTGTAATCCCCTTGCAATTTTCCTGCAAAAAATTAAGGTTTTCATTTCCAAAACATTTTTTCAAGGAAGGGCTAACCCTAATAAAAAGGCTATTACTTTACCAGAGTACTCAAGAAAAAGCAGGTTTATTACATCTTGATATTTATAATCTCATATTCCTTTACTCCTTTCTGCATAAGAGAAGAGTTTTAAAGTCCAGATTGCTAAAGAATCTTCTGCTTTTACTTTTCAGATGAGCACCTAGCCCCTCTTTACTGACTTCTTCATTATGTTACATGGAAAAGCATCATCATTGCAACTAAAGAATTACATCTTAGGACATGGCCTCTGCACAGCATATCCACTCCCAAAAAGAACTCTTTTTATCTGTAGTAAGTTTATCTAATATCAGCTTCTCACCTTTTGGATGATAGGGTATTAGTTTTATAGACCAAGATCACATATCTCAAACTGTTTTGTGATCACCTTCTAGAAAAAAAAAAAAATCAGTATGACAATATGATTGCAAAACAAAAAATCTCTTTCTCATCTTCCAGGATAATGAAATGATCATCTCTCATCTGGGAAAAGTGTACAATATGCCTTTTAATAACTGCATAATGAGGCAATGGTTAATATCATTATGTCTGCTCCTACAGTCTTTATTTATTACTTGCAAGCAGTCTCATTAACAGTGCTGATTGCTGATATGACTTCTGTGGCTGTCTGCCAAACCAGGAATGAAGAACCAGTACCTCCAAATGAAAATCAACTCACCTGTACTGAAAAATACTGTTACTCTTGTGGAAGATAATCCAAAATTTATGTTGCGCATATATATCTATACTGTAATTTTTTAAAAAAACATTATTCAATCCTCTATTTTTAGAGGATTTTAAAAGCCACCTGTTCCTAAAAAGCAACACAGTTTATTCAGTATTAGGAGCATTCATATAGGTTATGCAGTCCTTAATTATTACTCAAACATGTATGTTAATGTTGAACAGTCAGCTTATCGCAAATAAAACTCTTATAAAGGAATATTTGTGCAAGTTTATTGCTTAATCCATTATTGTGACCAACATGCATTGCAAAAATAAACCAGAGACCTAATCAATTCTTTTATGAAGATAGCAAAAAGGATTCAGGTGTGGATTCTGAAAGCACTTTGAGGAAACTTCCAAGACTCTTTAACAGTTAATCCAGATCATTTGACAGACTAGATTTTGTTGTATAAAAATGTCATAGCACATTTGATGTGTAAGGCAAGCTTTGGACTCCTATCACCTAAGAAAATCAGGCAGCAAAGGTCTTTCCCACCAGATCTGCAACACAAACTGCAGGGCTCATCCTTTCCACTTTACTGGAGCAAGGACTCTGGTACAAGAAATACACAGAGAAAGATGGAATAATAAGAAAAAGTTACTGTCCAATTTACTTCTGATATCACATCCTCCATAGGATGAAAAGGTGACTGCCTGCCTCACCTCCCATCACAGAGTGTCTGCTGAAATAGCAGCTGCAAAGAAGGAAGGGCATTAATTGTGATTCCAACACTACTATCTCATTATACTTCTTGTGTGATGCAGAGTCACACATTAGCTGTGGAAGAAGCCTCTCCAGTTTCTAGCAGTTGTTTCTACGGTACTTTTTTCAATTCCTAGTGACTTATCTTAAAGTGGCTGGAAAATGAGATGTCCTCTCCAGGAAGACCCTCCTGGAAAAGTAGTACACTACCTAACAGGAACTTACACCTAAATCATATTTCATCAATTCCCCAAATATCTATTTTTAAAGTCTTAATTCTGTAATTCTGATGATTATTACAACCAGATATTTGCATTAATATTCTTGCTTTTACTCTCAGGCAATATTCTACATTTGTTTTTATTTTGTTATGGTCTCAATGAATTTTCTAACTCTTTCTAGACTTAGCTGAGAGGGAAATCATCATTCATAGATACTTCGTACATTTCTACTACTCCATCTCATTCTTCATTGACATTCTTAAGTTCTTGACATAAAATTAATCAAGAACTTTAGTTCTGTGGACATTAAAGCAAATATGTAGATCAAATGTAAATCACTTATACAAAGCAGACATTTCCCGGTACAGATCTCTGGTCAATTTTAGGACAGCCTTTTCTAACAGGCTTTTCATTCATCCCTGTATCACTACACTACACAAACCTGATAAATTCTTTCCATTTAAGCTTTTAAAATGTAGCACAGACTGCTAATATTTCAGTTATTATTGCATTTTTTTTAAATGAAAACAATCCAAAACCATTTAGCATAAATAAGTGACTAAGTAGTGCTCAAGAGAATTGAGCAACCAGGTTTAGTGGAAGGTTAGAATGTCTTTATGGTCGCTATGTTAGATGGTCTTTAATGTCCCTTCCAGCCCAAACCATTCTAGAATTCCAGGATTCTGTAAGTTTGAAAGGACTTTAGTTCTTCTCATGTAGCAAAAAATAAAAATATAACAAGGAGTTGGATGAGGAAAAGAAGTTATGAATTACATTAGTTATTACATATTAATTATATATGTTGAATTCTCAAAAATGGAAAATAACCAAACAGAAAATTGTGTTCATTGCCATGCAAAAGCTACCTAGATTTAATTAAGAAAAACTTAGCTTAAAACAGTCTGAAAATTTTAAACCTGGCTCGCTTACTTCATTTTTAGTCTTTAAACTCATTGTACCCTAGGCATGTGCAAAAGTCACATAAGGCCAACCAGGATAAAAAAAGCCCAAATCAAACGAAAACAGAACACCAAAATCCCCCACAAAACCAGGGGGGAAAGGAACATTAAGCAAGATAGGAATTTAATTCCTAATCTAGCTTGTAGAAGATTAGTCTTCATTTGCTATTTAGCCAGGAGTTTACTTCTTAGAATGGAATTTTATCACCCTGGAAAAGGAGTAATGCAAATAGAAAATGCGCCATAATTGTTAGTAACAGTGTGGTGACTACACGGGATTGTTTCCTCCTCTCTTTGTAAATATCAAAATAGAAGAAATTGTTATGGTAGTTAAAAGTAAATGAAACTGTTCCAAATGACACAATGTTTCTTTCATCATATTTAAGAGCTACACTGTACTCAGATGAAAGAGGAGTAGACACAATTCTATCAGAGGAATGAAGACTCCCTGTACTTTTATCAAGGATTGGCAGTAGCTAAAAAATAATTGTCCTGCACAGCTGTGTTTTCTTCCTAAGGGCACCAGAACCAGCTCACTGACCCGAGGAAACTTGTCTCTTATTATTGGGAGCCATTTTTAATACTTAGAGAAGCCTTTGATAGCAAAGATTAGCCAAGTGCCAAAGGAAATAATCTCAGTGAACAAATTAAACTTGGAAGTACATAATCATCTCAAAAGCAAGTCATGAACTGAGACTTCTTCCCCCTCCACTGGCAATATTTTTTTATGCATGCTGTCAGCTTCTAAATGTTATTTTAAAAGGAAATGTAGTTTTCATCAAATATTTCTCTGAAAGACAGATTAGTGAGTCTCTTTGTATCTCTCTTACTGAGATTTATTTCTATGTATCCATTGTCTCATTTTTCACTGAAAGACAGAAGATATCCATGGTAACTGCAGGTTTAAAACTAAAAAGCGCAAACATCTCCTGGGAGGAAGAGCTTAATTTTAAGGTTATTCAAAAGTAAGAACAGTGCTGCTTGCAGTATTCCTGTGCTGTTTGAGTTGGCAAGGTCAGTAGACTAGAGTCTACTGAAGCGCCCTGAAACTGATGGATATTTAAGAGATGCTGGAATCCCCAAAGGGAAAGTTGCAAAATGGAAGTCCAGTCATTTTGAGTGCAAGAGATGGGGCCTGGCTATTAGTTCAGTCCATAACTCCTGCATCTGGCTGTATGGGAAGGAAATATGTGGGACTGGATAATCCACTGGAGTGTTTTGAAGGTACATACTTCTCTGGGATGCTGGTTTCAGTCTGTCAGATGTTTACACTAAAGAAAATCTAGTCTGTGTTGGATTGGGTGAATACATAGATAGGGTGACTACAACAACCCCTGGGTTTCAGTGTGGCTCAGCCATTACCACAGACCTACCTGTGGAGTGGACCACTGAAACAGGTCACTGGGGAATAATCACATTCACTGAAGGTTGCTAAAGCCTGCTGGGGAATGATCACATTCATATTGGCTCAGGGAGCTGGATCTAGGGACAACAAAAGGACTTGCTCTAGCCCAGCAAGCCTAACAGTCCCTGTGCTTGGTCACCACAGCCAGGGCAGGACAATAATGAAATCCTGCAGTTTCCACAGGAGTCCAAACTGCTTCTGCAGTCAGAGAGATGGGATGGTGCTTTTCCAGGGGTGGGCAGGTGCTTTTCCTGGCTAGTAAAGAAAAAGCCAGACTGATGGATAAAGCCTCCCTGTATCACTGTTTCGGTGCCTATTCAAGGTCTGACATTGTTGGCACTTCCACCTCCTAATTTCAGGCATTATTTCATTCTGCACCAAGGCAGTGAATAAGTAGGACTAGTCCAGCCACTGTTATAAAAAGGATAGCACATTCCCTCTTCAAACTAACAACAAACCATTCACTACTCACAGCTGTTGCTTCCATTATCTACTAACATGATAATATTAATGATAGTATTTTTCTTATATGGCAAAGTTTCTGGTTTTCATGTGCCAGTGGCCAAAAAATACTTTGGCTCTGAGAAGCTGCTTAATTTCTTCCCATGAAGAAGAGGATCTTCCCAGAGATGTTCTTTTCAGATCCTTTATCCTTACTTATGAGAGAACAGAATATCAACAACTTACTAGTTAAATGAGACACCTCATTCTCAGACCTGTGCTATAATCACATCACTCTGCTTCTTTTAGCTAGCTGTTTTACATATCCAAAATAATACCCAAAACTGTAATATTTTATCCTCAACACATCCATGAAATATAAAAGTATAGTTTTTTCAAAGATAAGAAGACTATCTTATCTTGGTAAGACACCAAGACTACATAGATAATTTAATGCATGAAGCAGGACAGGGACCATTCTCTGCTGCTGTGGCCAAGTCTTGTGAAATAGTTCCTACATGTTGTTAAACTCTCTTCTTGCAAAATTAAAAAATATATATATTTTTTATATATATATATTAAAAAAAAATATATAATATATATATATAATGTCATACTGCCATTTGGGAATCATCCATATTCAAGTAGTACCTGGGAAAATGGGGTTGGTACAGGCAAAAATCATTCCAGAGGTGCAGAGAACCAGTAGGATATAGAGCACCTGTATTAATGACTATTCACCTGGATTTTCACTATAAATCAAGGCAGGCATCAGTATAAATGAGTGAAGAGAGATGGAAAGTGACCTGCCTCATCCTAAACCAGGCTATTCCAGAAGATAGTTAATCTCTCTGTCTCATTCTGTTGGCTACACATGCAACCTACATAACTAATTTAGACAGCATGTGTAACAGCTGAACAGACTAAATTTAGTGACATGAATAGTCTCTGAACACATAGGAGATGTAGAGCAGTGTAAACCCAAACTTTGTTGTTTATCTGACTAATTAGCCTAAGTCTGAGCACTATACTGCATTTCACCCCAATTAGCTGCAGGAAGCACAATACAAAACATATACTTGCCTATCAGAGTGCTCAGTCCCCAGCTGTGTTTTGGTGATATCCAGTTCTGACTCTAACTGAGCTGCTCTGTTTCTGAGGTGAGTAAAATCTTGATTCTGCACAGCACTCTGAAGCCCATACACATTAATTAGATAGCAACTGTAATTCTCCAAGCGTGTAGCAACATGCAATTATTCAAAATCAAAAGGGCAGCTATACTATGCAAATGAGATTAGGAACATTTTTTTGGAGCAAAATATAAAACTATGAAGAAGAGTTTATTAGGGTTTAACTGAGGAAATCCAAAGGAGGTTCTTGGTATCTTCTGCTATTAATATAGTCAAGGCACATTGGCCATTTGAAAATGCAGCTAGATATAAAACTACCTCTGTTTAAATACACTTGGAAATTATGGGGAAAACTGCAATACTCTCCTGGTCATTTACTCACAGATTATTTTCTACTAAAGCAAGCTGTTCCTTGTGAACCTGAATTTCAGAGACTTTCTCTTGGTTTGCTCTCTGTGACTGAAATTCCTTCTCACAATTGGACACAAGAGAAGATTCCAGGTTTTTCATAGATGCTTTTTCATTTCCCAGTTGTTTTCTCAGCAGTTCTGTTTCAGAATGGTTTGATTCACACTTGCTCTGCAGAAAAACAAAGATTTTAAAGTTTCAGCTGTATGCCTATCAAGCTCACTGTCATTCTATTGGGGTAATCTTTAAAAAAAAAAGATGATAATTCAAAAAGGAAGTCTGGGATCAATGACAAAATTCGTTTTCACTGCAAGATGGGTGGTTAGTTTTATATTTTCCCAGTCAAAATCTTCTGAGAGATTTATAAAATAATCCAATGTATATATCTTAATATAAATATACTTGATACAAATGCGAAAATGCTATGAAATAGACAGATCAATGGATTCTGTAGACAGAATCATTAATGAAGAGGAAGGAAGTTTCACATTTTGTTGAGGCAAGAAGCTATTGATTAACTGTTTGCACACAGGAAATAACATGTGATACTGCAAACTGGTACCAGCATCACCAGCAGTGTGAAATTAAACTTATTTTACTTACAGGAGCATCAAGAATAAACTGGGGGGAAAGGGAAAATTAATAAAATCCAATCAAAGAGATTAAATATCTATATATCTTTGAGGAACCTAAAAAAAAAATACCCAAAAAACCTAGTATATTTTACTGTAGAGGGAACAATGGACATATCTGAGACATAGCTACAAACACACATTAAAAAATAATTCCAGAGGCTGAGAATCAGGAAAATCAGTATTGGGTTAGCTATAGAGACAAAGAAAACTGCCTGTTTCAATCTTAGTATAAGTAAACTGGATGCTATTTTCTCTTCATCTTTTCATGTATGCATTATAGTCTGACTAACTGAGTCTGGGGTGCTGCAACACTTTTATCTGTATTTTACTCAAGCCTAGTTTACATTAAGCACAATAATGCTCATCCAAAGGCCATGGGAAATCTATGAACTGGGACATCTTAACAAACTCTCCACCTCTACAGCACATTTCTCAGAAATTTCAGAAGATAACCATTTATGTGTTCAAAGGAGGAAGAACTAAGATCACAGGCCAACAGAAGGGAGGACAAAAAGAAAAAAGAAAGATAAAGGGAAGAAAAAGCATTTGTCACTTATCAAAACAAAAGTCTTTTTTTTTTTACCAAAATAAACTGAAAGGTTCCTTCATTCTGAAAGATCCCATTTTCTATGTCACTCAAAAATCTACTTCCTTTGCAGAGAAAGTTTTGATATTCTACATTTGTATTTCAGAAAATAAGAACACTGAAAACTGTAGACAGAAGAAGATACACAAAAATAAACAGTATTAGAAACATTGAGAGAACAACATTATTCAGAATCAGGTTTAGTTTTCACTTCTGAATAGAAATATGTTGAAATCTAATAATGTAGATTCTGTGCTGGAATGCTGTGTAAAGCAAGAGCCTTATCTGAAGGTTATACATGGCTAATGAAAGACTACTGGTTGAAAGATACAGAAAAATTAGTGAAAATTTCCCAACTTCTGACTTTTCTCCAACTCTCCAACTGCATTTCTGCAGTTTTCTTTCCTGAAACTGTTGCTGTTCTCCACAGTCCCAGTAATCCCCTTCACAGAAGGATCCAGGGAGGCTTAGCCATATTAGATCTCATGAAGTTTCAGATAAATGTCTTGTGCTGGAACTCTTTCATATCAAGAGAATCACAGAGGATTTCACAAGGATACAAAAAACATCACACGCATTTGGCTGGAATGCATAACCAACTGCAAACAGCAGCTTTACCCACTCTGCTTCCAAATGGCATAAAGGTTTAAGGAGACTGCTGGAAGCCTATAAGGAATGAGAAATTATCTCAGCTGGAGCACAGGATGGACAGGTCAGTAATAGAATCATACTGAAAATACCTGAATAATCTGAGTGTGTATGAACAACTTTTCAAAGTTTATCCAAACTGAATTTTAAAAAACGTATCACATAATAATTTTGTATTTTATGTAAAAATCAAGTCAACAAAAACTGATTTCTGAGGGAAATTAAGAAAATATTAAAGATATTGGTACTTCCTAAATTAGTCAATAATTTTAAAGTCTACACCAAGTTTCCTTGCTAACAAACAGCTTCAGCTATTCTGCTTACCTAGTGACTAGATGTAAAATCCAAGATATCTTTCTTGAAAACAACAGTAATTTTTAGCCCTGACTTTTGAGTGTTCATAGTAAAACCCTGCAAAGCAGTAAAGCAGTGTCCTTTTCAAAAAGTGTTCAACTCATACCCCCTTTGAAGAGTAAGCCCCTGAGAAAAGCCAAATTAAACACTGAAAAAATTGCAAAAGTGATCATTCATAATCCTAAAGTATATTTGGATCCCTTAAGTGTAATATTAACATAAACTTATTTTTCTAATATATTTTACATACCCTTTCTACCGTCTCTGCTGTGGAAATGAAATGCTAATTTAATAGTTCTTTGATTGCATCTACTTTAATGCAAAGTTCTGGTGTAGATGTGGCATTTTCAAGTACAGAGACTCTCTCCTAAGGTATATTTTGAGGCCCCCTGCCCATTTTCACAAAAGACTTGCTTAAGGCAAAAACAGGAGACTTGTATGCTGCTTCTGTTGTTAAATGATACAGCAATGCAATATAAAACTCTACAAAAAATAATTAAATCAGCTTCCAAAATCCTACAAAGTATCTCTATGTAATTGTGGCAAATTTTAGGAGGCTGCAGTAATTCATTCTACAGTAAACTTTGGAGTTATTTCTTTAAATAACTCCTGTATACAAAAATTAGAGGAGTTCTTGCTTCTGACAGCAAAATTATCTTCTGGCATTTTAAACTATTCTTAGAATTCTACTCCTTTCGCAGAATTAATAAGGTTGAAAATTCTGCCATGGACCACATTTTATTTTCAGATGAGATCTTCTCATTTCAGCAATAAAATTAGGTTTTGTATGTAGATGATCTGTGGATGCAGAGATTCTGTCACTCATATTTATACTCCTGTCACCTGTAAATTCAGGCATGACTAAGAGATGAGAGAGTCACATTAAGGTGGAGTACACAAGGCAGCAGCAGCAGACCTGACTAAAAACATTAAGAATTTTGTACATTTCAAATTAACATAACCTAGGTTTTTCCTTTTTGAAAAATGCCTGTACTTTACCCAGTGATATTCCTGGTCAGCCACTTTAAACTCCTTAAGTTTCAATGGGTGGCAGAATGAGTGTGGGAGGTTAACAGAGCAAAGTGAGAGGTAAGGCACTGTGATTTGCTTGAAGGATTTACTAGAAATTACATCCAAAGAGATTATTTTATGGGAGCACATCACATTAATTCTAGCTCTGTCTCACCACATAAAAAAAAACACAAGGAACACAGAGCACTGCTGAGCACATTAAGATTGTTGAATAAAAACTTGTGTAGATACTTGCCTTGCATGAAACTGTATGAACTGGAATATGACATTTGGAATTGACCCAGTGTGTTGACATAGTGCTCATGAAGAGGCCTATTTATTTCTACACTTAATAGCAGGCATGTGGGAGGGATTAGAAGGATGAAATGTCTGCTGGTTTCAGGCTTGTTGGACAAACCAGAACCATGTACCAGCTTTATTATATCTTCAAGGAATTCTAAATTCTGCCACACCACCCTCCTGTGCTGTTTTGCTATTGCTGTGTTCTCATCCACTTTATGCACAGCAACAGTTTGGTTCCTCTAGAGGATCTAATATTCTTGAGTAGCCTTCTGTGGGATTCACATTCTCTGAACCTGAGAGAAGCAGTAAGAGAAGCAGAGAAAAGAATGATCAAAACAATTCCTATCTCATTTACTGCTCCTGTATTGTTCACAAGTGGAATGCATTGTGGAAGATTGCTTACCTGAAGGGAATTGATAACTGGATTCTGGTGTGAGTGTTTTGATTCACTGACCAATTGAATCTGTGTGTTTGTTGGGACTGTTGACTGACACTCACAAGATGCTGTGCAGTTGAGTGCTTGGCAGATTCAGTTTAGATGTAATGTAATATAATACAGAATAAGATAGTATAATAAATTAATTAATTAGCCTTCTGATAAGATGGAGTCCTCCTCATCATTCCTCCAGGATGTTGGGCAAAAATTATCACCGATAGCCCTCAGCAGCTTATGTGATGTTCAGGAAGCAGACATAATCTGCAACAAAAACTGGAGAGCCCCCAAACCATGTTTATGTGCTCACAAGGCATTTCCAAAGCCAAGCTATGAATTTTTCTTAAAATTCTTCAGATCTTCAAGTGGGAAGAGGCTCTTTGGGACATCTAAAGCAGTGGAAAGAAGGCTAAGGAGCTCAAAGCAAAAAGACCAGGGACAGGAATGTGACGGGTGACAAAGTACTTGAAATGATTCAGGTACGCTGAGTGGAGTTGTGTATGACTTTATGCCTTCAGTGATTCCAACCAATAGAGCATTTAAATTTTTTATTTTCCTTGAATTTTTTTTTCCCCAATGTGACTAGTGGAATTCTAATCATATACTTATATAAAGTAAAATGCATACAGTTCATGGTGGAAAATCTCCCTGAAATAGAAGTTGCATTAAACGTAATTTTTAAATATTACCAGACCATTTCAAGGGTGAACTATGGAAAGAATGATTTCAACTCACTTGCTCCATCTGTGTTTCAAGGGACTCTATTTTCCCTTTCCAGCTGTGGCTCTCAGACTGCACTGATCTCTGCCAGTCTAACAGGAAAAGCCTGTTTCTGCTTCATGGCATTTTGCTTTCCCAACTTTCTCCTTGATCACAGGCTTTGTGATAAGAGCTCACAGTTCTCTCTCCAAACACATAAAGCTTATTTATTTAATAATTTACAATAAGCTCCAAAAAATAGGGATATTTATAGACCTACAGATATGGTATTGGATATACTCTTTCCACTGAAAATTCTGCCATTTGGTGAAAATATTGAGAGACTTCTCATAAACCAGAGTTTTGTCCAAGATGAGCACATTTTAATGATCAATAGACATCTGTTAAGAATGGTTAGGTTAACATTAGACATACAAGGTATAGCAATATAGTATAGTAATTTTTTTTATTATATTATAGGATTAAAATAAAGAGTTCCAAGTTTATCTATTATTTCCTGTCTGATTTTTTAAGCTCAATACACACACACACGTGTGTGCTTTATATATATATATAGATATATATCTATATATCTATCTATATATATATGTATAAAACCACAGTGAAATATTCTACATCAATTTTGCACTGCAAAAGCAATCATAAAAATGTGTCCAAACTACTAAAACCAAATTAAGGGAATGCAAATGAGTTTTGGTTTGGAAGCTAATTCTTCTATAGAGATATCTAAAAATTTAATTTTTTGGTAAAAACAGTTTTAATTTGTATACTCATTTTAGACTTTGAGCACATGCTTCATCCTGAAAATATCTCTGTTTGAACTCTGGGCTTTCAACTTTATATTATCAAGCTCAGTTTGGTACTTTGCTAGTTTTTTATATAGTACCTATGAAGAAAAGTTTTTTCCATAAGGATTAGGTATACTGCTTGTACCTTAAAAAATAATAATTAGTGTGTATCTAAGATCTACGGCTTTATTAAGATCTGTAGCTTTATTAACTGGTGTTTAAAGGCTATATGAAATGTAAATTATGTGTATTTTTATAAACCAAATTTTTTCATTTGTGAAAAATATTTTTTACTTATAAATAACACTAAATCTTCTTATAAAGAAGAAAAATGTCTGTAAAGGAATGTTACAGTTAAAAATAAAAAAAAAACAGATGGTTTATTTAGCATCTAGATTGTCATAAAAAAAACCAGCCTGTCCCATTTAACAAGCAGAGCTCAATCCATTCCATTTCTTTTTACATTACAGTTTTTAAAAAGCCTATATTTTTTAAAGTAGAAGACAAATAAAAATTAAGTAATTTAATTATTATGTAATTGCTTACACAGTAATTAATCAAGTGGTTATCCCCCAATCAGGAGAAATAAAGCCACAAGTATTGGGAGAACAGACACAAAACTTCTGAGAACTATTGCTTGAGAAAGTGAACAGAAGAAGGGAAAAGAGCTGCAGAAAGGCTGTCTTCAACTGCACAGTTCAGAAATTTCTTCTGTGCAAAACTGCTGGGAGAATTCAGCTGTAAGAACTGGGGGAAGGGGTGGTAGTGTGGGGAAGCCTCTATGGAGAAACCCCTATTCCTGTTGCAAAAATGCTGTGAACTACTGAGAAAGTTGTTCTGGAAACTTTCCAGTAAACCCAAGCAAAGAAATGATAATACTTTAAATATTTGGAGTATCACCTCAATTAATGGAAGGGCCTGGAGGAGCCAATACATATTCCAGAGGCAATTCTACTAAAAAGTACTTCATCCTATGACACCAAGACTTTTTTGTTTCCCACTGCTTCAACAAGTATCCAAGTATTGCAAAGAAAACCGTGAACCTTTCAGAAGTAACTGGGAGCACAGGAAGCTGCATTTCGTACCAGCTGACATCATCCTTATAAAGTGTGATTCCAAGAGAAGGTGAATTTGTGATTCCCTGATGAACCTTTGGCAGTCAAAGCCACTACCAACCTCACTGTTTCCAGGAGGGCACTTAAGGCAAAAAATTAGTATGTCTGGGAGAAAAGTTATTTAGAATGCAAGTGGTCTCACCTAACTTTTGGTCTCACCTAAGAATTAAACACTTGATCCAAATCCCTAAATCCATAATGAAGGGGGAGAGGTAAAATTAATCACTTTAAAAACTGGGGTGGAGTCTCCTGGAGGACTTTTCTTCACTCAAAAGGGACTCTTAATGACTTAAAAGTTCTATGTACCTGACATCAGGCACAGTTAATTTGCTCCTTTAAAACTGAGTAGCATTTCTAGAGGAAGAGAAAGTCAAGTGAACAGTAGAGCAAGTTCACAGATCAAGTACTGAAAAACCCAAAAGAAGGCAAGAAGCTGCAGAAAAAGAAGAAAACTCACATCACCTAGATAAGCGATGAAGTCCTGCATGTATTAAGATACATTTCTTGCTGCCTGGAAAACACATCAGTGCTGGAGTATTTTGTGTGCATGAGATGACACTATAAATATTTTAACTACTTTCACCAGGAACTGCACAGAGATAAATAACACAGTAGATAATGTAAGGCTGTATTATAAACCACTATTTCAAGTATCTTCTATCCAAAAGTAACTCTTGAAGAAACATAAATACAATATGTGTTGTCACTGAAACTTACACTTGCCAGAGCTCTGTCACACAATTTTAAAATGCAAAAAGCTTTCAATAATGAAAGAAAACAAGAGTTTTGCATTCAAAATGTTAAAACTTTCAGAAGTATATTTATTTATTTGCATTCAATGCCTTTTCTTTCAACTCATAAAAAAAAATTACTGCAGAATATGAAAATTAGCCTATTGTCACTCACCAGTTTTTTAATCTAAATGCATCATTTTCTCTTGGCTAAGTTGCATTTCAAGTTTTTTCTTCACAAGGCTTCACTGAATCTCTGAAACACTCAGTTCAGTCTTTTCATTCAATAAACTCGAAAAGCAGAAACATTAAACAGGAGAATACAGACACTGATATACTATTTTTTCTTTTAGAAAGGTCACAAAAATTGTAGACGATAGGAAAAATTTGAGATTTTTCTATTTTAGACTGTTTGGAATATTTTATTAATGTTAACTTTAATCTCAGTGTATTAAATTGTGTAAGTGAATAACTGTCTAAAGGATTACAGAAAAGTAAGAAGAATTCTTTGCAACAGGTGATTATAAGAAAGTCACAAAAATAATAAAAATAAAAACCATCCCCTGAGACATCCATTTGAATGCCTGACCTGTTTCAAATTATAACCAATAGATCTGTTCAAATGTAGTAATATTCATGATTCTCACACTGTTCAACAAACTGAAAAGAATCATCAGTTTGGTTTGGGGATGTAAGAAAAAAGATTTTTCAGTAGCAGCACCTAGTTTTCAACAATTCAACAGTGTTCATAAATCTGACAATTTATTATAAAGCAGCACTCTCTGACATATTTTTTATTCCCTAAAGGGTTTGATCGAGTCTAGTCCCACTATGCTTCTGAATGTGACTGGGAGCTCTGTTGAGCAGCAGACAATAAGCCCTACACAAAGATTCAGTTTTATTTCCTCTCATGAAAAGGCTGCAAGAATAAGAAATGGGTCTTTAAAACTAACACAACGTTTACTAGTTTATGCGTGTTTACCTATTTTTATTTTTAAAAAAATTAAAATAAAATTATTCATTTCATACGATATTTACCAAAACCATCAATCCACGTAGTTTCTAATAAAAAGCTCCTAACTCTAAATTAAATGAATTTTACTTTTTCACTGAAAGTGGTTTCCACCATATCATCATACCAATAAGACAAGGGCATTTACATATAAATAAGCAATGAAGAAAACAATTTCATTCCAAAATGAACGATAGCTCATAAGCAGCTTTCATAAATTTCTTTCCCTTATAAAAGTTACAAAAACCAGTGAACATAGGTGTGGCAGCAGCTCTCTGGCTACAGAGAGCAGCACACAAGTTTCCCAGGTGGGAAAGGCTGTGAGAAGATCAGAGAAAAGAATGAGAAACAATTCTTACCTTCACTTGCTGCACCTGTTGTGAACACGTGGAATGTGTTGTGGAGATTTGTTTATCAAAGGGTGGTTTCTCAATTAGCCAATGGTGATGGTGTTTAGATTGGAGGACCAATTAGGTTCAGGTGTATTGTAACTGTCTGTAAAAGCAATGGGTTTTTAACACAAATAGAATAATAAAGAAATTGATCAGCCTTCTGAGAATCATGGAGTCAATGCAAATTATTACTGGTCAGGGGCCCGCTGTGGCAGGACATAGGCTGGTGTTACCAGTCAAATTAATGCAATTACATTCTTTTACTTACCTAAGAGAAGCACATTCAGCTTCCTGTCAACTCACTCAGTTTCAGAATCCAGTCTTTTCTTGTCAAGCTTTTAATCTCAGTTTCCAGAGAATCAATGGTGTCTTTCATCAGTGACACTGTAGACATGTTCTAACTGTTCACTATCTAACTACAAATATAATCAAACACTAACAGCTGGAAAAAAAAAAAAAAGACCTGATTTATAGAATTTATTTCAATTTTTACTCTGTTTTTAGCACAAATCTTTTGCTGAAGAAGAAATGTCCAAGTATCTCATTTACTCAACTATCTGTTTACTGGAAATAGTTGGCAAACATCTGAAATGTGACTTTCATATCCTTTGAAGGCAAATTGATTTCCCATCTTTTAGATCTCTGGGAATATTTTCATTTTTTCACATACATTTTTGGTTGGTAACAATGCTCAAGAGCAAAAATGTTTGCCATTGATCAACATTAAAAGTTTTCAGTGCAAATTAACATGAAAGAAAACATTATTATGAGTGTATGAAGGGAGAAATCATGGTTTGGGACACAACATTACCAATAATGGCTTTAGGTCTCAATTAAATTACATGCTTATGTCAATAACCAGGTAGAGAAATCACTGTAAAACACTTGCATAAAGCACCATGTAAAGCACCAGTTCCCACCACGGGGCCTTCAGGTCTGTAGCTAAAACAAAGAACAGATCCAAAGCCTCCTTCACAGGCTCCAACAAAGCCGGTTTGAAATCTTCAGTCTAAAGAAACCTCTATATTTTTATTAAAATGCTTACACTTAACATTATTGGATCCAATTCAAAGGATTGTCCTTTCTAAATTATTTGAAACACATATTTTGAAGTACAAAAACTCTCACCTCATCCCTCTCTTCCTTTACCAATTTTTTCAGTACTAATTTCTGTGTTACTACAATCAAAGGTCAGGCCTCTAAAGAACAAGTCTGTAAGCCTCTGCTATACAGTAGCTTCTTCAGTACTAGTGCCATAAATCTCATGTTGATGTATTGCTCTCAAAGGGTACCAAAAGAACTGGAGAAATAAGATGATGTACCTAAAACAGGACTCCCAATATCATTACACGTCACATGTAGGCGTGTGATTAAAGTTAATTTACTACTCAGAGCTATTTCAGCCTACAGTGTATCCTTAATATCAGATGCACTCTATTTAATATTATAAACTGTGGTATTATATTTATAAGCTTGGCAGGATTTTAGAAGGCTGAGGCAGAAAAGGAAGATAAACCAGAATTTATAACCATAAGATCTAGAAGAAAGATATACTGCAGAAATCAATGTTAATTTATTTTAAAATAAAGTTCGACCAAGACTGTAAGTAAATTTAGGATTTATATTCATTATATTAATGTTTCCATTTTCTATTTTAGTGCCATTTGTTAGCTAACAATTGCACACACAAGTAACTTAAACCCTATTAAATACGACTTGCCAGAAGAGTGCAATTACATTTAGCTTTGAAGCATCAGGTCTTAGTAATGCACAGTCATAAGATAATTCACATTTAAATAGACTCCAGGTCTCTAATCTAAACCCCTGCTCAAAGCAAAGCCAGTTCTGAGGTCGGGCGGCTCAGCACTTTGTCCAGTCCAGTGTTGAAAATCTCCAAGCCTGGGGACTGCTCAATTGCCCTCATGAGAAGCAAGTATTTCTTTGTATTCAGCCTGAACCCTTCTGGCTTCAGTGGATGCCCATTGTTGCTCATCTTTCCACCAAGCACTGCAGTAAAAAGCCTGTTTATGACTCCTTGATGTCATACCTACTGGCAGGTAGGACTTATGTCCCTCTTAAGCCACTTCTACTCCAGGTGAAACAAGCCAATCCTCACCTGGATATAAGATCACTGTGGGTAAATCTGACAAAGCTTGGTACAGTCTTAAAATCACAGAATCACGGAATGGTTTTAGTTGGAAAGGACTTTAAAGACCATCTTGTTCCACACCCCCTGCAATGGGCAGGGACACCTTCCATCACATCAGGTTGCTGAGTGCTCCATCCAGACTAGTCTTGAGCACTTCCAGGGATGGAGCAACTTCTCTGGGCAACCTGTTCCTCACCACCATCACAGTCACAAATTTCTAACTTGTATCTAATCTAAACCTGTTGTCTTCTAGTTTAAAACCATTCTCCTCGCCCTGTCACTACATGTTCATGTGAAAACCCCCTCCCCAGCTCTCTTGCTGGTCCCCTTCAGGTACAGGAAGGTGCCAAAAGATGTCTCTGAAGTCTTCCCAGGCTGCACAACCCCAACTCTCTCAGCCTGTCTTTGTAGGAGAGGTGCTCCAGCCCACTCTGATCACCTTCATGGCCGCCTCTGGGTTTACTCCAACAGGTCCATGGCATCATTATGTTGGAGACCCCAGAGCTGGACACAGCTCTCCAGATGGTGCCTTTCCAGAGCACAGTAGAGGGGAAAGTCTTGGTAAATAACATCCACTGCTCTCAGCCTGTTTCCTGACAGCAGTCTGGCTGGTGCTGCAGGATTAACCAATAACATCACCTGTATTATATTTACAATTCCATAAATAATTATTTTCCCTTACATTGTGAATAGTAGTTTAAAGCTCTTCAATTCTCTGTTCCAAATGAGCCCTTTCACTAAAAGGAGTTTCTTGGGAAATCTTTATCAAATAACAGCAGCAACAAAACCCCTTATAAAACAAGTCTCAACTCACCACAGACTTGTAAAGCAATTAATTTTCAGAACCAGAAGATAAATCCTGAGCAACTTTAATTACACTGCTAGGTAGTTTTCACGTTTAAATAACCTGTGGGGTGGGGCTGAGTTGGAATGGGACAGACTCAAACCTGTAACTGCTCCCTGAGGCTATCATGTTCTGTAGGCATCCTTCGGCAATCTGACAGTGCTGTACTCCTTTCTGGCTCCATGTGTCTTAATACAGCTTGAGCTGTCCCAGGAGTGATGCTTTTAGGAGTCCTGGGGCATTTTATAACTTCCTGACAAAGCTGGGAAATCTCCTCCTGTGCCTGTCTTTGAAAACAGTAGAATAACAGAAACATGGAATAGATAATCAATATATTACTGGGTCCTGTGGCTGGCTAGAGCATCCCAGAACTGTGTAATATCGAAGATGAAGAAATCATTTGTGCACAGATTCTTTGATTCAGGAAAGCATTTTTAACTCAAGACAGCACTTACAAACTTGTATTGAACTGACAGATTCAAATCACAGAATTTCCATAACTTTTTTTAAAAATATTTTTTAAACAAATACTTAGCATTCTTTCTTTTTTCTTTCATATGAAGACAAAATATTTATTTTTCTTGCACATTACCTTGTTATTTCAATTAATCACACAAATATAAATAATACAACCTGTTCATAAACACTGAGATTTTTGTCTCTCTCAGCTGTTAAAACTTTAAAGCTACCATGAATTTCTGCCATGACATTCATTTATTTTCCATGTTGACTCAAGTTTTTCACATTCTCTCAATATTTTCAAGACTTCTGGATCAGAAATCACTCCCTTAAAGAATATGGTGATACAGTGTTAAAGCAGAGAAACAAAACTTGAAACACTTTCTTATTATATCTGGTTAGAAAAATTCTATTATTGGCCCATTCCCATTTTATGCATCCTTCTGTTTACAATCAACTAGTTTTTCTTCCTGGTAGTTGCAGCTTTAGTAATTTAACATGAGATATATTCTAAAAAATATATTCCTCCTCTTCCAGAGTGACTTCCCAAGCTCACCTGGATGGATGATTTTTTTATGCTGCCACAAGTAGAGATGTACTTAGGACTTGAGAATGTGTTTCCTAATGCCTACAACAAATTCTCAGTCTCACATTTATGGCGGTCTCTGTGCTTTACCAGTGACTAAATAAAGGCATCATGCCTCAAGGTGGTACCCTTGCTTTATTTCATATTCTCTTTGTGACATAACCTGCATTAGCATCAATGAGAAAGTGCATGCAGATAAATAGAACTTTTGTGATTATTGATACTTCAATGTAAAATGGATAAATATGCTCTTTAAAATGAAGATGAAGCAGATATCTAATTAAAATAAATATCCATATAATACTTTAAAGTAACTTTTGAATGTCTGTATTTTTCTTTTTTTGTTATATTGCAAATATGCCCGAATGTCCTTCTAATATGTATCTAACAGAAAAGAAAGGGACATAAAAGCAAAATGTTAATTAACTTGAAATATTTCTGTTCAAAACCAAGGGTAGATTTCTACTGGAATATCTAATGAATTTTTAAATATGGTAGAAAGTAGGCCACCATGTTTGTTTAAGGTCCATGAAAGGTGAATTTCTGCAACGAATAAAGTAGTGTGCAAGTAAGTATTGTTGAAATCCAGAAAGTTATGTAAGAGCCTAAAACAGATTCTGAAGATAAACTGCAATTCAGAAATCCAAAATTGCACATCAAATCCCACTTGTTTAAGATCAAACTAATGTAATTTTGAGTCACTACAAAGAGTAATTTCTAGAAATTGATTCCTACAATCGATTTTGGCATTCATACTAAATAATCACATCCTAGGAGTACCTCTGATGATAAAGACAGCCTAGATATCTATTACAGTCATCATCACTGCTGACATATCGTGTAGATTAGGTGAATCCCATCCTAATATACTGTTCTCTCTGAAAGAGTCACTCAAGTTCTGCACTTATGTGCATTTCCCTAGTCCTAGGGAAGGGAACAGATCACAGCAATCAGCAATTGGCACCTTCAGTACCTCACTGAGCATCGAGGACTCAAACTTACACACAGTATTTGCTCATTCACAATACTACCTTTACCAACTAGTGAAAGAGCACTTTTTGGAAAACATGATAATATTTATATATCCTAAAATATATACTTACACTACACTTGCCATACAGTGGTAAGAATTTACTGCTGTGACACATTTCACCACTGATTTGAAAAGAAATATGGAAGACCCAGGGAAATACAGGCCAGTAACTCTTGCCTTGGTACCTGTCAAGATCATGGAGCAGATCCTCCTGGACACTATCCTATGACACGTGGAAAATAAGGAGGTAATTTGTTGTGTTGTTGTGAGGGTCCATAGGATGAGGTGAGAGATGAGAATTCGACTCCAAGTTCTCAGAAGGCTGATTGTTATGTTATGTTATGTTATGTTATGTTATGTTATGTTATGTTATGTTATGTTATGTTATGTCATATTGTATTACATTACATTACATTACATTACTATACTAAAGAAAGAGAGAGGATACAACAGAAAGCTAGAAAGGAATGATCATAAAAACCCCATGACTGACCAGAGAGTCTGACACAGCTGGACTGGGATTGGTTATTAATTAAAAACAATTCACATGAGACCAATCAAAGATGCACCTGTTGGTAAGCAACCTCCAGACCACATTCCAAGCAATCAGATAATTATTGTTTTCATTCTTTTCTGAGGCTTCTCAGGAGAAAAATCCTGGCGAAGAGATTTTTCATAAAATATCACAGTGACAGTAATTAGCGGCACACAACATGATTTCACCATGGCAAATCATGCCTAACAAATTTGGAGGCCTTCTACAAGAGGGTTACAGCAGTGGTGTAAAGTAAGTGGTGAGGAAAAAGCAACTGCTATCATCTACCTGGGCTTGTGCAAGGCATTTGACACTGTCCTGCACAATGTCCTTGTCTCTAATCAGGAGAGACATGGAATTCACAGATGGACCATTCTGTGCATAAAGAATTAGATGGATTGTTGCACTCAAACTGGCCAATGACTCAATGCCCAGGTGGAGACCAGTGGTGCTATTCAACATCTGTCAGTGACATGGACACAGGCTGGGAGGAGAATGGATGGAGAGCAGCCATGGGGAGAAGGACTATGGGGTGCTGGTGGACAAGAAGTCCAACATGAGCTGGCAATGTGGCCTTGCAGACCAGAAGGCCAATCACACCCTGGGCTGCAGCAAAAGAGGTGTGCCTAGCAGGGTGAAGGAGGTGCTGCTCCCTCTCTACTCTGCCCACCTGGAGTGCTGCAGCCAGCTCTGGAGCCCCCAGCTCAAGAAAGACACTGATCTGTTGGGGTAAGTCCTCAGGAGGGCTGTGGCGGCGTTCACAGGGGTCCCAGGACAAGGGAAGAGATGACAATCTTCATGTTTCAGAAGGCTGATTTGTATTATTTTATGATATATATTATATTAAAAGAAAATTATATACTAAAACTATATTAAACATTAGAAGAAAGGATTTCATCAGAAGGCTAGCAAGGAAGGGAATGGAATGATAATAAAATCTTGTGACTGACCAGAGTCCCAACACAGCTGGACCTGTGATTGGTCATCAAGTAGAAACAATTCACATGGACCAATCAAAGATGCACCTGTTGCATTCCACAGCAGCAGATTATTGTTTTTGTTTTTCTCTGAGGCTTCTCAGCTTCTCAGGAGAAAAAATCCTGTCAAAAGGGTTTTTCAGAAAATATGTCTGTGACAATGGACCACTAAGCTGATCAGAGGGCTGGAGCATCTCTCCTATGAAGACAGGCTGAGAGAGCTGGGATTGTTCAGCCTGGAAAAAGAAGGCTCCAGGGAGACTCCAGTACCTAAATGGAGATTAAAGAAGGCTGGAGAGGGACTTTTCACAAGGGAATGTAGTGATAGGACAAGGGGGAATGACCCTAAGCTGAAGGAGGGAAGGTTTAAACTACACAATAGGGAGGAATTGTTTATTTTCAAGAAGAATTCACTTCTTTGGAGGGTGATGAGGAAGAGTTCACCTAAAAAGGTTGTGGAGTCCCCACATCTGGAGGTATTCACTATTAGGCTGGATGGAGCTCTGAGCAACCTGGTCTAGTGAAAAGTGTCCCTGTCAATGAAAGGGGAGTTGGAACTAAGTGGTCTTTAAGGTCCCTTCCAACACAAACTATTCTATGACTCTGATTTCCTTGAGACAGGAGTTCTATAGGACAGAAACCAAGCAGCTGTGATTTACACACAGACTTCTGGCTCAGTACCAGCACAACAGCTTACCCAAACAGCTTTCCAGTAAGCATGACATCTCTGCACTTTTATTTTCTTTACTCTTGCTTTCCAAGATGATCATATTGTTCCTACAGGTGTATATGACTGAAATTCTATAGGCAAAACAAAATGAGAGGTTAGAAATATTCCTAAAAATAATTTTTTAAAAGGTGGATTGCAAAATATTGTACAAAATTATCAGCAAACCCCTTTTCCCATTATTGCTGATATAAATATTTATGACCACCACTTTCATAGAAATTTTAATTATTTCTCTACTTGATTTCATCCTGGGAGGTTTTTGAATAACTCTTATCTATGAAAATTCAACTTTCTCTATCAGGTTTATGATGTAGAGCACAGTTTCTTAATAAACATTACTAAAGTCAAGGAAAGGTGCTCATATTTATTTCTGATTTTAAGTACAAATGAATACTGAGTGACTGGTTCCTGCTACATCTTTTTGAAGAGCTTTTCTGTTGGAGTTAAGCCAAGCTTCTCCTCAAGTGACACAACACTTTTTCCACATATTGACAGATAAAAAGATGATTTCCTCAAATAATAATTAAAATTCTTCATAGTTATTTGGGGATGGAAACGGGAGGATGGATCATAAATTGGCACACTCAGACACGTGCAATACCACCATTCACTGCTGCTGAGTGAAATTCTTTCAAAGAATTTCTTTAAAGCACCTTTAACCCAAAGCTCCTGGGCCCACACATGGAGCATGTGATTAATGCAAAAGCCTCACAAGAGGCAGGGAAAGGCACCGTGAGCAATGCTTACAGGTCACAGGATTTCAGAGACAAAGCCAAGCAGCCAAGTCTTGTCAGTCCCAGCCCCAGGAGAGAGATGGGAACTCTGAAACTGCCACAGCTGATCAGGAAGGACTGACAGTGAACTCAGGGAGCTCAGCTGAGCACCTCTACTCTAATTAGGTTCATCTCTTCCAGAAACTAATATCCAAGGAGACACTTTCACAGATGAAAACTCCAGCAATTGCCACACAATCTCTCAGGCCTGACAAGAAAAAAGCAAGTGTTAGATAAGACTGACTTAATCTTGTGAAAATAGCTTCCTTTAATTAAACCTTATCTTCTATCCAAAACCCATCTAATTAATGTATCTATCTGTAAGACTATGTGCCAGTTGTATCATCCAGAATAAATATTATTCTTTGCACTATACTTGTTCCTTGACAGGGTCAAACATTAGCTTCACACATATGATAAACACCAGTCTGAACTCACTCCTGATTTTTAAAGTCAGGATAACATATTACTGGTTTACAAACATCATGAAGTTAAAACATCAGAGTATTACAAGGCTAATTAAGCTTTTCTTTATCCCACCAACAAAATAATTTCAGAGAAATTACTTCTTATGTTTCCTTATATCCCAAGATAGGAGTTCTTATTTACAGTACCTCTGGCTGTACATATCTTCTTCTTGGAATAGCACAGACAGGGAGAAGCAGGCTGGTGCCTTCAAAGAAAGTGATGCAAAAAGGGTAAGGAGGCCCTGTGAACCCTGTGACTCCTACTGCCTGCTCATGGCAAGGATACAAACAGCCCTTGTAAGAGGCTGCTTTAGGTAGTTCCAAAGTCAAGCAGAGAAACCAGACAAAATGTCCTCTCTTCCCTGCTGGCCTCTAGCACAGGTTTTATATTCTGGAGAGTGCAGGGTGAGTTACGGGGTTCTTTGGCAAGCAGCCACTATTAAGCACTCATGGATACGGCTCGTCTTTTCAGACATAGAGCGAGTAACACCTCTGAAATAAAATCCCCACCTAAAGCCAGAAAATAAATTGGAAGATTTTAACTTCCAGACACAGAGCTAGAAAAACCAAGTATTTTTCTTTTCCCTTTCCCCATCCTGGATTTCTTGTAAATCTTGCTTTCAAATTTTGGCACGGTGGAAGTGGAGGCTCTGTATTATCACATTTATCTCCAAAAGAGATGTGAAAATGGCATCTTATGCTTTCACAACTTTAACAAAATTATTCCTAATGAAAATTCATTTTAGGATTTATTCAATTTATTTTTAATTGATTTTATTCTGGTATGTCTAAGGTATCCTCTAAGGGACATAGGGTGAATTATTTTTCATATCTTAATGCTGATTAACGTTGTGCAGAGCAGTTGCATTGCTTTTTGAATATCAAACAATGCTTCGTTGATCAAAAAAGAAATTAAATTCATATACAGGATTGTTTTCAAAAGTGAAAATAATATTTGGTGTATTTTACAGATATGTGATTTATACAATAGTAGTTGGGACATAAAAAAACTTAAATGCCCAATTCAGAAGAGATAAATAAATCATGGTGTGCATTTACAAATTCATACTTTTTGCTGATTGTCAGAATATTTCTATATTCTGACAATATAAATAAATCACGGTGTGCATTTACAAATTCATACTTTTTGCTGATTGTCAGAATATTTCTATCTTGCTGGATTTGTCTTCAACAATAGGAAGGCATTTATTGTTGCATGTGTATTTCATCCTTCAGCTTATCAGAAACAGACCCATGACATTTTTATCGGTCCACCCAGTATTCTGCACACTTTATGTTTTTTAGCAAATTATGGTTCTAATTATGAAAAGAGTTTTTGACTAGAAAAACATAGACTGCAACATCTCTTGGTAGGTTTTTAGGGACACCCTGTGGCAAAATGACACACTGCAAACGTTCAAGAATCAAGTGCCAAAATGGAGACAAGTGGTCCCACATTTTTGGGGGTTTTAGTAACATCAGTTGTCTCACAAGACACATTTCCATACTTCTGACCAGTGCTAGAATGCACGGGTTCGTGTTTGCATTTTGTCAACTGCCTTCAACATTGATTTCCAGCACATTTTTATGGACAAACTCCACATGCTTTTTAATTTTTTTAACCTGTGCATTACAGAATAGTTCACCCCACTGAAAAATGATTACCAGTCTAATTCAGCAAAACGTTATGTCCATTTCAAATTGCCTAAAAAAATTCCTTCTTTTTTTTTTTTTTTTTTAATGTGGCAGTACAACACTAAAGGTACTGGCACACATATCACATCAAGCTCCTTTTAGAGTCTGTTTCTCTCACTAATCACCACCAGCACACATGTTGTGATGGTTTCTTACTTGCCCTATTACACCCACACAGTTCTTTTAAGGCAGAATGGAAGACAAAGGTATGTAATGTACCTTTTAGAAATACACATCCATGAACAAGAGAAATACAGCACATATTTGCCCATAGGGATACTACTGTGCATAAAAAACTTCACCTAGCACTGAACATTCTCCCACGGTGTAAGCTTAAGCACAGACAATAGCTTTTGATGAAGAATTATAGCTTAGGTCTGGCAGACTTTAAGAATGGCTTAAATGCAAATCTGAAGACAATCTGCTGCAGGCAATATGTCTAGTCTTTGATCACTTTCCAGCTTGTTAATGAATTATGCTATTGACATTTAGCTTCTGTATCTTCATGAGCACCATACAGAGTATATTTCACAAGTCTCTGCAATTGCATTAACTCTGTCTCCTTGTGAACTCATAAAAGCTTCTAGCATCCAGAATATCCTGCAGAGAGGAACTGCCCATCTGGGTCTTGCAAGAAAAATCATCCATTTTATGCACTGTGCACTGGCCTCTTGTTGCCCTGTAAATATTGTGGGAAATGCCCAAAAGTATCTGAAGCAAAGGTGTGAAGAGGATGAAGTCCGGCTCTTCTTGGAGGTGCCAAACAATAGGATGAGAAACAACAGCCAGGAATTACTGCATAGGAAGCTCTACCTGAACATGAGGAAGACGTTTCTTGTGCAGGTGACCGAGCACTGGAACAGGCTGCCCAGAGAGGGTGTGAAGTCTCCCTTACTGGGAATATTCAAGAACTGTCTGGACACAATCCTGTGCCATGTGCTCTGGGATGACATTGCTTGAGCAGGAGGTTGGACCACATGTCCCGCTGGGGTCCCTTCCAACCCGACCGGCGATTCTGTGATCTGG